ATCTGCCTTCAAAAAGATGGTAGAAACATAAACCCTAATAACATTGAAGAAGTATTTAAACACATACTTGCAATGCCAAGGCATAAAAAGTTATGGATCAGGTGCTGGAAATTAGATTAGAATACATAGACAGAGATAGCTTGAACTGCAGATGCTCCTCTGATGCTGCCTGGCCTGCTGTGTTCCTCCAGCTCCACACTGTGTTATCTTAGAATAGATAGGCATTTGTTTTTGACCGACACAGGCTTAATGGGCCAAAGCGCCTTTTACCATGCTGTAGACCTCTATGTCTGTTGATTAAACATCTTCAAGGCGGAGACAGCCAGCCCAAGTAAGGGAACCCAGGTATAACGGAAAAGTCAGGAAAATGGATTCAAGGATTAACTGATCAATCATTGAATAACAAAGTAAAGTCAATGGGCTGAATAGCCTACTTCTGCTTCAACATCTTTTTTAATTCATTCAAACAAAGGGTGAACTGTGAACAGTGGGTTAAAATGGATGGGAAAGTAACTTGCAGTTTTCATGAAGTGCATTATGTGCAGAAAGACAGCTTAAGCTGTTGAATGCAAAGATCTCCAGACAGTTGAAGACTAGACTTTGATCAGAGATGGTCACAGGTCCTCAGTTCCTGAAATGCTGACTCCACATGAATCACCTAGAAAATCTGAAGGCCACCAGGACTGTCTGTGAAAGTGTCCATGTCATGACATTTCGTTCTCTCAGTTTGTCAGTCTCAGTTGCATCTGTTCTGATTATGCCGCCTTCTGCAGGAGGACCTCAGAAACATACAGCTTTTTTCTCAACTATGTGCTGGATTCCCTGCTAACATGATTGACAGGGCCCCAAGTCATGTCCGACCCATCTTCCACACTTCAGGCCTCACCCTTACTTTTCTCTTCCTCAACAACAATAAAAGGTCCCCCTCACTCTCATCTACAATCCCACCAGTATCCACATCCAAAGGATCGTCAGCCACCATGTCTGCCACCTCCAGTAGAGTATCACTATCAGACACATATTCCCCTCCGCTTCCCTGTCAGTCTTCGACAGAGACCGTTGCCTCCAGGACAACTTGGTCCACTCCTCCTCCACTCTCAAGGCCTCCCACGCCCCCACAACAGCTTCTCACGCAACTACAGAATGTGTAACACCTGTTCATTTACTTCCTCCTTCCTCACTATCCAAGGTTCCCGACACACCTTCCAGGTGAAGCAGCGATTTACCTGCACTTCACTTAATCTAACCTACAGTAATCACTGTTCACAGTGTGATTGCCTCTACATTGGGAAGAGGAAACAGACAGGACATTCAATTTGTGGAACACCTGCTTCCAGTTGCCTCCCACGTCAACACACTGTTGTATTCCCTCGTCAACATTTCTGTTTCAGGTCTGATGCAGTGCTCTACCTGGAAGATCAGCATCTCATTTTCCACCTGAGGACCATGAACTGTTCAGGGTTCAATATAGAGTGTAACAATTTCAGGGCCTGAACACCTACTTCCATGTCCTGGTCTGCTTTCATCACAACCAACCCATTTTATGGTCTTTCTTATGGCCCCTAATATCAGCACTTGTTTCTCCCAGGCTCGCCATTGCCATCCTTTTGTCTGCCTAACATCTGTACTTACTCTCTGGGCTCCATCTCCACCTATCTCCTTTCCCTTGCTTCATCTGGTCTTCAACATATCTTTTCGTAGCTCCCATCTGTTCTCAAGTAGCGTCATTCAACCCAGAACATTAACTCTGGGGTCAATGTCATTTTAACTGCAGATTTACACTTTACAACACACACTCAGGAAAATCACTAATCTAGTCTACAATTATTGCAGAAGGTTACAAAAAATGCTTTATACAATGTATTAATGCTGATGAATAAGCCCACTGATAAGCACGTTTAGCTTTTACAGTAAATGACCACTTAACATGTCACAATGTACTGTCACCATCTTATGTCTGAAATATACCACTAATCCTTCACCATTACTGGAATCTTTATAACTTATTTCCTAACTGCACTTAGGTGAGGTGAGAGTCACAGTCCTTGATATCGAGGCTGCATTCAACCGAGTGTGGTATCAATGAGCCCCAGCAAAACTGGAATCAAAGGGTATCAGGGGGCAAACTCTCCGGTGGTTGGAGTCATACCTGACAGATAGGATGATGGTTGTGGTTTTTGGCGGACGATCAGCTCAGCTCCAGAACATCTCTGCAGGAGTTCCTCGGGGTAGTGTGCTAGGCCCAACCATCTTCAGCTGCTTCATCAATGACCTTTCCTCCATCATGAGGCCAGAGTGGGGGGATGTTAGTCAATGATTGCACAATGTTCAATACCATTCAAGACTCTTCAGATACTGAAGCAGTCCACATTCAAATGCTGCAAGACAATATCCAGGCTTGGGCTGACAGATGGCAAGTCACATTCGCGCCACACAAATGCCAGGCTATGACCATCACTAATAAGAGACAATCTAACCACCACCCCTTGACATTCAATGGTGTTACTATCTCTGAATCCCCCACTAACACCCTGGGTGTTATCATTGACCAGAACCTCAACTGGACTCACCACATTAACACAGTGGCTACAGGAGCAGGCCAGAAGCTAGGAATACTGAGGTGAGTAACTCACCTCCTGACTCCTCAAAGTCTGTCTGCCATCTACAAGGCACAAGTCAGGAGTGAGATGGAATACTCCCAACTTGCCTGGAACAGTGCAGCCCCAACAACACTCAAGCAGCTTGACACCATCCAGGAAAAAACAGCCCGCTTGATTGGCATGACATCCACAAGCATTCACTTCCTCCACCACTGACTGTCAGTAGCAGCGGTGTATACTATCTACAAAATGCACTGCAGAACTTCACCAAAGATTCTCAGACAGCACCTTCCAAACCCATGACCACTTCCACCTAGAAGGACAAGGGCATCAGACATATGGGAACACCATCACCTCCAAGTTGCCCACCAATTTGCCCTCCAAGTCACCCACCATCCTGACTTGGAAATATATCACTGTTCCTTCACTGTCACTGGGTCAAAATCCTGGAATTCCCTGCCTAATAGCATTGTGATTCAACCCACAGCAGGAGGACTGCAGTGGTTCAAGAAGGCAGCTCACCACCACCTTCTTAAGGGCAACTAGGGATGAGCAAAAAATGCTGGCCAGCCAGCGATGTCCACATCCCACAAATAGAAAAAATAAAACGTAGAGCATAGCTATACCATACAACTAGCAATGATTCCAGGCAGCAAATCATCTTCACCTTTTCAAGGGCAATAAATCGAGTCATAGAGTAATACAGCATAGAAACAGGCCCTTAAGCACAAACTAGTCCATGCTGACCATGGTGCCCACTCAGCTAGTTCCAACTGCCTGCATTTGTTTTTATCCTTCCCATCCATGTACCTATCCAAATGTTTTTTTTTTAAAATGTTCTTATTTTACCTGCCTCAATCACTTCCTCTAATCGTCCATTCTGTACATACACCACTCTCTGCATGAAGAAGTTGCCCTTCAGGTCCTTCATAAAGCTTTCCCCTCTCACCCTAAACCTATGCCCTCTAGTTTTCAATTCCCCATCCCTGGGAAAGAGACTATATGCATTCACCCTATCTATGCCTCTCATGATATTAAATACCCCAATAAGGTCACCCCTCATTCTCCTACATTCCAACGAATAATGTCCTATCCTGGCCAATCTCTCCCTATAACTCAGGCCTACTAGTCCAGGCAACATTCTCATAAATCTTCTTTGCACTCTTTCCAGTTTAATATGTCTTTCCTATAATAGGGTACATAACTGTACACACTGCTCCAAGTGTGGCCTCACCAATGACTTATACAATTGTAACATAATATCCCAACTCCTACACTCAATGCCTCAACCGACGGAGGCTAGCATCCTAAATGTCTTCTTCGTTCCCTGTCTACCTGTGACGCCACTTTCAATGAACTATGTATTTATACTCCTAGGTCCCTCTGTCCTACAACACTCCTCTGGACCTCACCATTTATTGTGCAAGTCCTACATTTGTTTGACTTTCCAAAGTGCAACACCTCACACTTATCTGTATTAAATTGCATTTGCCAATCCTCAGCCCACTTCCCCATCTGATTAAGATCCCTCCGTAATTTTTGATAACCTTCCTTGTTATCAACAATACCTCCTAATTCTGTACTATCTGCAAACTTACTAATCATGCCTTGTACATTCACACCCAGATCACTTACGTAAATAACAAACAACAAATGCTGACTTCATTGAAAATGCACACATTTCATCATCAAATTTTAAAAGAGGCAGAGCTGCTTGTTATCGCCACACTGTATAGATCATTGGCTTAGCTAAACTCAGGGTACTATGAGTAATCTAGAACATTTACAACTGGAAGAATTTGTTGGGTTGGAAAAGATGTAACTAATAGAAAGGATAGGCCTTAAGAAAAGAAAAATACAAGCTCAAGGAATTTTCATTTCAGGTCACAAGAAAACCTTCAGATTTAGCCCAGATTTTAAAATCTCATGCTTTCATTAAAACTGAGTCTTGATGAATGTGGACAAAATTGATATATCAATGAAAAAATAAATTAACCTTCTCAAACAACAGATTATTTAAGTTCAAAAACACTGACCACATAGGCAAAAACACAACTAAAACTTCCACCAGGACCACACTTTATATAATCTAGTATAGCCTCAACCCAACATACTTTTCCACCTTTTTTGTATGAAAGGTAACAAACAATGGCCTTCTTCAATCAAATCTGCCCTTGTACCAGCTGAGCTGTTCAATATACATTTTCTTTCATGCCATCTTCCCCAAGATTCATGCAACTAATAGGTGAAAGTCGTGGTTTTCTTGCCAGTGGCCAAAAAATATTTTTCACAATAAATTCACGTGGTGCTAGACAGATCTATGACAGAAACAACAATGTACACTGTGCAATAATGTCCAAGTAGCTGCATTATTCTTTGTTCAGATAGTGTTACACTCACCTTGTTTACGTACATCGTCCACAGCTGCTATTAGTTCTTCCTTCAGGTACTGGCTCTCATGAGCAATTTTATCACCTTTCTCCAAGAAATTCTGTGTTGCCTGTTCCACAGAAGCAGCCAAAACATGAGCTTTTTTAGAGCGTCCTTTCTTTTTGTTAGACGGCCCTCTATTGCTGGTGTTAACAAGGGTAGTCACCTGAAAGTATAATTTTAGTTTTAAAGTCCTAAAGAATATTAAATTAAAAGAGCAAAAGGAACAGTAACTTGCATTTACATAGTATTTTTAATACACTTGACAGGGATGGAATCAAGTGAGTGGCAAGCCAAAAAGGGGCTTGACGTTGAAAAAGGCTCGAGAAGGAGAGAAGGGAAATTGAACAGAGAATTGCAGAACATCTAACCTAAAGCCATAATTAATTGTGGAACAAAACAGGGAAGCCTCTATTCTTCTAACTCAAGACATTCTGTACAAAGTTCAGAAGAAGTCTGGGTAGAAGCATACGTGAGTAAAAAGTTACAGTAAGGGCAATTTAAATGAACACAAGAATCTTAAGCTATAAGAATCTTAAGCTATAAGAATAGGGTACTGAGGGAACAGAGCTTACACAAATACTGAGTTTCAACAAACTGAACCTGCAGAGGATAGCCAGGAGAGCACTGGAATTGTCACATCCATAGGTTTCAGGAGCAAGCCGAGATAATTTCAAAAGATTTGCAATGCTGGAATGGTGGAAAAACTAAGCAGTCACGACTCATCAAGAAAGGAGTGAAATTTCACTAGGAAGGGCAGCCAATTGCATCAACTTATGATAAAATCTTGAGTTAAAGTAAAGCCAACTACCTGGGAGATAAGTGTACAAGCTCAACACGAAATATTGTGCCCCAAGATCTAAACAGGCCCGGACTGGATACTTGGTCATGGCTGAACTGGTAATTTTATCCAGCATGGGAGATACTTCTCAAATACAGAAGTGTGGGAAGCACAAAGAGGCTCACAATTCCCACTCCAGACTTTTACCAACAAATTTCAATTCCAAGTTGGTCAAAAAAAATCTGCTATGTTGAAGGCTCATCTGTGAATTATTTAGGCCAGGTATTGAGGATGGCTAAATACCATGCTGCATACCAGCCTTCCTCCCTGCTGTTCAGCAATACATAGACGACAACAATCAAGAAGCAGCAGCATTATGAAAATCCTTGCTTGGGCAATCATGCAAGAACATAAAAGTCAGAGTCTTACTACACAGAAACAGACCCTTTGGTCCAACTCATCCATGCTGACTAAGTTTTCCAAATAAAACTAGTCCCATTTGCCTGCATTTTGCACACATCCCTCCAACCTTTTCCTATTCACGTATCTGACCAAATGCCTTTTCAATGTTCTAACTGTACCTGTCTCTTCCACATCCTCTAGCAGTTCATTCCACATACAAAACACCCTCTAATTGTCACAATGCCATACTACATGGAAACAGATCCTTTGGTCCAACCAGTCCAAGACGACCATAATACCAAATTAAACTAGTCTCACCTGCCTGCGCTTGGTCCATATCCCTCCAAACATTTCTTATTCATGTACTTCTCTAAATGTCTTTTAAACATTGTAACTTCACTCACATCCACCAATTCCTCTGGAAGTTCATTCCACACACAAATCACTTAAAAAAGAACTGAAAAAGTTGCCCCCTCAGGTCCCTTTCAAATCTTTCTCCTCTCACTTTAAAAAAATGCAATCCAGTTTTGAACTCCCCCACCCTAGTGAACAGATCTTATCTATGCCCCTCACGATTTTATAAACCTCTAAGGTTCACTGCCTATGCTTCAGTGAAAAAAAATGTCCCAGCCTGATAACTCAAATCCTCCAGTCGCAATGACATCCTCGTAAATCTTTTCTCAACCCTGTTCAATTTAATAAAGTCAAGAAGTTACATTTCATGCAACTTCCTCTTAATATTTGAGATAAACTTAAATTGTTAAACAATACAGCTGTAAAAATACTAGTTTATATCCTGCAAGTCAAGAAAAGGACTTTTAAAAAAAAACTGCTTGACAAAATAGCTGATACGCAACAATGAAAGATCCGTATTTCTGCCTTCATCAGGAAGAGCCAGACACCCAGGAGTAACATTCCAATGACTACTAAAAAAAAGTATCAATTTTCCAAACCAGCACACAATGAATGGCCTTAATTGAACCTTTCCAAGGTGACTGAAGCAGTCAATGGGGGCGTAAAAAGAAACTATTTTATTTGGAGTCCAGAACAAGGGGTACAATGCTATAATTATGAGAGTTAGAATGATCATGGGTGACATCAGGCAGCACTTCTTCACAGAAGAGTACAGCAAAAACAGACACTCCCTGAAAAGTTACAGCTCTGTGAATTGTAAATTTCAAAACAGATTTTTATTAGGCAAGGTGATTAAGGAATGTGCAGCTGTTAGATTTTATTAGGCAAGTTAATTAAGAAATATGGAACAAAACTGAGCAAATCAAGTTACTATACAAATCAGAGAGCCCTCTTGTGGTGTAGTGGTAGTGTCCTTACCCCTGTACTGAGAGACCCAGGTTCAAGTTCCAGATGCTCCAAAGGTGTGTAATGTTTCTCAACAGGTGATTTACAAAAAAAGTTTTAAAAAAATTAAAAATTGTACGATACAAACCAGTCATGGTAGAACAGAGTCTAAGAGAGGACTGGTCTATGCTTGTTCCTATGTTCTACTGCATACCACCAATCTAGCACATCATTTCCAGGAGCACAAGAATCAACTTTGCATAGCTGACAAATTTTCTCCAATTTCAACTTTAACGTACAAAGTAAAAGGAAACATTGTCAAATCTCCATAATCGTTCCAAAGCATACTCCTTACTACAATTCCTTTCCCAAAAATTTTATATGGTATCTTAGGATAAAATCAAATATCAGAAAAACAAACCAAACTTTTAGGTTTACTGTTCTTAATTAATTGACATAACAGCTTCACCATATAGAAATGTAATAATATTAAGTACCATTTCTTTTTTCTGCTCTATGGTCACCCTGTTATAGGAAGGATATTAAGCTAGAGAGGGTTCAGAAGAGATTTACCAGGATTTTGCCGGATATGGAAGGCTTAAGTTATATAGTCGGGGTCTTTTTTCACTGGAGAGTAGGAAGTTCATAGGTGATGTTATAGAAGTTCACAAAATCACAATGGGTATGGACTGGGTTAATGGTAGGTGTCTTTTCCCTAAGATGGGGGATTTCAAGACTATGGGGCATATTTTTAAAGTGAGAGGAGAGAGATTTACAAAAAAACACCAAGGCAAAGTTTTTACACAGGGGGTGGTTTGCGTGTGGAATGAACTTCCTGAGGAAGTGGTGGATGTGGACAGTTACAAAGTTTAAAAGACACTTAGGTAAGTACATGAACACAAATGGTTTGGAGGGACATGAGCCTGGAGCAGGCAGGGAGGATCAGTTTAGTTTCAGATTATGTTCGGCACGGACTGGTTGGATCGAAGGGTCTGTTTTCATGCTGTATGACACGGAGAAGTTTGTAACTCTATTTAACTACTTCTGTGGAATATTCTAACCTGTGTAACCAAAGGTTCCAACAGACGTTCCACTGCCAAAGTCCTTATTTCTAGATTTTTCGGATCCCATTTGAAGCTAATATTCTGAGTGTTGATTGTTGTCATGATTTCTTGCCTATCAATAGAAAAAAAAAAGCCAATTAGAATCTTTTCCCAGAGCTCAGCAATCTATGATAAATAAACAATCAGTGCAAAATCAACATCATAATAGTTTTAGATCAATAATGAATTTTGTAACCAATCTAAAAGGATAGACAGCAGGAAAATAAATGTAATGAAACAAATTCTGTTCTCTCATGAAATTCAAGTAGACATTAAGCCTCATCTGCACTTCATACAGTGAATGATGAAATTAGCAATTTGTACTGCTCACAGGCCTGTTAGATACTTTGGCCATTTTATCAGTGAATGGTAAACTATACACACATGGTCCAACCTGTAAATAGAAAAATTTCTTAATCAACAAAAAAAATTAATACTAGAAAATCTCAAAATCCGTTTGCAAGAAAATTTGTAGCTCGGGTTGCGGATGAGGTTATAGATATGCTTGCCGAGCCAGTGGGTTTGGTTGCAAACATTTCATCACTCTGCTAGGTAACATCATCAATGCGCTTCTGGTGAAGCCTTGGCGTTCTGCCCCACTTGTTATTTATATGCCTTGGTTTGCTGGGGTGGTTGGTATTACTCCCAGTTCTGTCTCTCGGTGGTTTCTACACAGAATCTCAAGATCCATCAATCTCTATCATGACATGGTATGCTCTGGAATATCCTCCAACAGACCTTCAGATTAAGGTCTCACTCTTAAAACTCCTCCTTTTATCAAAAGAAAGGAATGGATTTTGTATTCCTTCAAAGTCCATGAAATGCTTTTATATTAGTTTACCTTTAACTTACAAAACAAAAATCACTTTCTGGACTGCCCTTAATTCAAGGATGGGACATGTTTCATTTTGTTCCCCCCTTTTTTTATAGTCAGAAGTTCTCTTACACAAACTGAATATTTTCTTCTCCTAATCACACGTGGTTTTCTCTTCATTGTTATGGTCCAGACCAAACTCGCTCATAATATTCAGAAGACAGGGTCTAGACCCTAACCTTTTTTCTATTTTAGAAGTAAATATAAGGTGTTGCATTCCAGATGCAATTCAATTGGTCAAACTACCAGATTTAAAGCAAAACACACTGTATTCATCCATCATTGTTACAATACAACAAAAGAAAGAAGGAATTGGAATAAATTGACTCTATTGGAAAACTTAATTAGTAAAAGTTATTGTATCTATTACTCTGTTCAGTGTTCCAATATAGTAACATCCCATAAATACACCCTTGACAAACAGCAAAAACAGAACACAGATTGTCTCACATGCAACTTCAGTAACAGGTAGAGAATTCCCAGTTTTTGGCTGTAAATGAGAGGGGAAAAAACAGCCTCCAGTTCTTCAAGACCTTAATAGCAATTGCTGAAGCAGTTCCATGAGAGCTTAACCACACCCATTCAGGCTGCTTCTATTATTTCAACATTTTAAAAGAAAAAGGCCTCAAGACCTGTTTACTCTAGTGGCTCTGGTAGACTGCTCATCACCTTTGCCTTAAAACCTCAAAACAAAAACCAGGACAAAATATGCCTCTTAAGGCCACAGTATCATTATATCATCTATTAATCACCACTGGTAATTTTTTGTTTTCAAATTGATTAATTTATATTCAAAGCCTGTTAGGGGTAATGCAGACCATTGTGTGTGTGTGTGTCTGTGTGTGTGTGTGTGTCTGTGTGTGTGTGTCTGTGTGTGTGTGTGTGTCTGTGTGTGTGTGTCTGTGTGTGTGTGTCTGTGTGTGTGTGTCTGTGTGTGTGTGTAAGTAAATGTTAGAAGGGGAAATAAAGCACTCTACCCCTGCAGTGCCCACCTCATTCTAAAAGAGATCAATAGCATTGGTGGACACCACATGCTCCCTTTCGAAAGGCACCCAGGCATGACCATAGCTGCAAAAGAGGGACAGTCAGCAGCTATGATGCCCTCCACAGCCTGCTACTGGGTCCTGTTAAATAGCCAACCTGCCCAAGTCAGGGAGCAAACCCACAAGGAGGTCCTCTGAATTGCCCACAAAAAGTTACATCTCCGCTTTTTCTGCTATGACAGTCCACCTGCTGTTTTAATGATTCTATCTTTCCGTAAATTAACCTTTTAAGTCAAAATGGCCAAACATTCAAGGTATAGTAGCCTCTAAGCTTGTGTTTACTCCACTTTCTACTGTTAAAACTTCAATTCCTGTAAATTATGTCTAAACAAATGAACCATGAATTAACTGTTTGCAAATTGTTGCCTAGGAAGGGTGCAAAATCAGTGGTCAACTCAGTGCTGCAGCATAACTGCTTGACAAGTTTAAATGGAGGAAACTGAAGCCTAATCAAGACTGCACACTGGGCAAGTAGTCCAATAGCCCAAGACAGTGCTGGAGGAGAGGAAAAAGTGGTAAACAGGTCATGTTGGTTGCCAACATACCTGTGGAAGCTGACCTAATTTCTTTAGTTGATGGCACCAGTTCCAGCATGTAAGCAAGAGCAAAACAGGGACAATGAGATCTTTAAGAACAGCAAAGAAAACACTGTGGTCAGAAATAGAAGTATGGATCTAAGCAACTGCAGTTCAAATGAGCCAGGAAGTGCAGGAAGAAACACCAAAGGCAGAGTGGTGTGGTGGGCAAGCAGTATCAATGGAAATCAACATGGGAAATGCAAAATAGTCAGAAGCTCATGCTTCTGATTCCAGATATTTCAGTACAGTTTAAAACATATTTGAAGAGTTTAAAAGCTATACTTGGAAGCACAGATTTAGGTTATAGTAGAAGTTCAAAGCACACGAGATAAATTGAAAATAGGTGGTATTGGGCAAACGACTGCAGTTGTGAAAGGGAGGAATACAGTATCCTTGGAATAAGGGAGCCACTTACATTATCAACCAGCTTTGCACTAAGATGGAAAGCCAGATGCTGGGAAAGGAGGTGGGGTGATAGAGAAAAGAGGAAGATGCACAGTTCCAGTTTTAGTGACATAGACAATTACGATGCCTTTCTCCAGGATCGCGGAGGCAGGGGAAGTAGGTTAAAAAAAGGAGTTGAAACTGTAGAAGCATAAAAATTTAGACTTCCTGGTGTAAAAGGGGGAAGAGTCAGATTTGGACTAGTCAGCAATCCTAGTACAGTACAATGAGTAAGAAGGTTGAAGACAGCAGAAACATGTAAAGTTGGGAAAGGAATGACTACCAAATAATTTTGAACTGCCCATCAGCACAACCACATTAACTTTGTGGCAGGTAACTTTAAATGATACATAAATACCATCAGTACACATTTGCGAAAGTGTAAATTTTGCAAAGACATCTACCTATATTTATAGATTATTAATACAGTATTTCTGGAAAGACAATAAGTGCGAGATCATTATGACAGATGCAAGAATCCCAAACAATCATAAGTCATACTACAGAAGAAAAAGGGATGCTGATTGACACATCATTGATTGCTTTCTCCAATGGCAACACCTCAACTAGAGAACCCAATGTTCCTGTGTAATTTAACAAGGCAGAAGGTTTAAATACATTTGTTTTGTTTGCAGAGAATAAGTCCCTGCGCACGAATGTGTGCATCTCCAGTGTCTCAGAAACTGTCCAAACAAGTTGATTAGAAATAATTAAATGAACTGTATTATGAGATTGAATTATTTTAAGTTAGTATAATGAATAGCACATTGCTCAGCTCCTCACTTGCAGAAGAGTAATGAATTGCTTTCCAATATGAGTGAGCCATGAAGGCAAAACTTACGTTCACGTATGAAAGGGCTCGCCTATAGCACACAAACAGGATGCTCCATACACCCCATTTTATCAATAAACAATTCTGCACAGTATGAAGTGTTGAATAAAGTTACTATAGCCAGTTCTTAATGAGCTATGTACAGTAAACTTTTTATTATCCGGCAGCAAAGGGATCAAGAGTGCACCAACTGATCAATTATTCCAGATAATCAAGAGGTCCACATACACAATGTAAAAATGCACACTAAGAAATAGAAACTTAATACAGAGGGTATACACATCACTGTCATACTTTTTTTCCCCGGTATAAAATCAATTGAATAGTAATGCAACTTTGTCTTAAACAAAACTTAGAGGCAGGGAATCTTCTCACTTGCACCTTCAACCGACTACTCAGACATTGTGGTACATTGTGGTATTTGAGGAGAAATTGACTCAAAATTGAATCAACTGTTGATATTTCATGTGGCCATTTGATTGAACAAAAAATGTTTACATTGAGGTAAGTAAATTAAACTATAACTGGACAGAATAAGACAGTAAACTTCACTGTATTTGGGGCATATAACTTTTGCCAGTTTATCAAGAGTGCCAGTTCATAAAGGTGCCAATTAAAACAAAGTCTGCTTTATGTTATAAAAATTCCACCACTAATACATTACTTACAAGCTGTACTCCTGCAATGTGAACTGCGACTGAAGAAAGCCATCAATATTGTCATTGCATTGCGATATCAAAACTACAATCCTCTGAATCTGCATTCATTGAAATTATGAACTTAGCAAGTTGCAGTTTTGATCTTAATGTCAGTACACACATGAATAGATGGTATAGCCACGTGACCCTTTAGGTCGCCACTCACTGAGAAATGTGTTTTTGATGGAATGAACTCTATCCAGTTAGAACACTCTGAAATCTCCTGTCCAGTTTACATTTCTGATACATAGATGATATGTTTGTAATGTTTAAATCTGCTTATACAATTTTGTGTACAAAGTTTCTTGTAGACTTTAATGTGCTCCATTCCATGCTCAAATCCACTTTTGAGATAGATTAGTTTAACTTGCTCCCTCACCTCCACGTGCTAGTGAGGAAATTCACCAATTGTTTCTCTACTTCTGTTGATCACCAACCTGCCTTCACTGGCCAATGTGTGTGTGTGGCTCCACGCACTGTAAAATTGGCCTTATCAGCAGTCTTGGAAATAGAGCCTTATCAATTTCCTCGCCTTGCAAGCTCGACACAAAGTGCATCAAAGCACGTCTACTGGACAATAGCTGTCCCAATCAGATCATTGTTC